ACTTCGTTGAAAGTGAAGCTATCGGAGAGGGGTAAGTGGGAATGAGTAGAGCTAGGTTGGCTCTTGTCACCTGAATTGAGCGATTTCAAAAACGTTCCGATTCCAGAGATTTTCCCCGTTGTGATCATCGTTGTGATCCGTCTGTGATCATTTTTGCGAACCGCGAGTCGCTACGCTTTGGACGTCCATGGCAAGCTTCATACACGGCCTTTCGTAAAAAAAGAACTGTGCCGGAAGCTTGAAGATTTCTACTTTCCAGCAAGGTTTTAATTTCCTTCCTAGACCTACTATTCGAAAAAATTCCCCGTTGTGATCATTTTGTAATCACCCCCCACGACACCGAAAAATCAACCCCTCCGAGGCCAGGAAACCTCCAGTTGGCTCGAAGACTTTGGTATGCTTCTGAAACACATGTTTTCGTCAAGCATATCAGGTAATAGGCCATTGGGCGCCAATTGGCATCACATATGCAATGCGCCATGCATGGGGCTTTCACGCAGGTGTTTGAAAGGTGTAACTTCTAGATAGGGCTTCCCAATTGCAAGCAAATGTGCTCCTACGATCAGAAAAGTCCGGGAATGTACTTTCATCTGTTTATTAATCGTCACGTCGTGAGTCCTCTTGTTTGTTTATAAATTCATGGGGCCCTTGTGATGACGCTCGACAGCAAAATTTTGTAAAAAAACCAGAAACTTTTTGGGAAAAAATAGACAAAGTGGTAGGAGGTTGGAAAAATCTAGGGAAGAGGTAACATGGGGAGGGGGTCGTACTTGAAGATGGAATTAGGGGGGTCGTATTTTTCAGGAAATGATCACAACGCAATGGCGTGCCCTGGTCGCACCTCCTCGTTGTCCTTACAATGTCCTTAAAACAAAGAAAAACAACATGGGGAATGCATCACTCCACACCACAGATGATCCGTTTCGCCGCGTGTAGACGAATCATCGAAGTCTTACCACCCCGGCTAAACTGTGCAAGGGCCACCGAACCAGAGTTTTCAACTCACTGTTTTTCCGTGGAGCGAGGTATCTCCAATTACTTCCATCAGACCTGCTGGAGGCGCCTAACACCTACACGTTCAGAAAGAGACTAAAGAAGGTCGATCTGATGACCTTGCTAAGCATTCAGGATTCCTGAATCCAGTAGTTTAGTGAAGTCTTTCCTCGGTTGCTTTGTGTTACCGAATTTTTTTTATTTATGGTAATCGTATTTTTGGTTGTTCTATTACTCTAAGCCTATCGCTTGCACTGCTTAGCGCACCTATGCGTGCATGATAAATAAATAAATAAATAAATAAATAAATAGCCGAGTGCTTTTGAACAATACTCTAGGTCTTCACTATCTGATGCTGCTCTAACGTCAGAGGAGGTATCTGCCCGCCAAGCTTGGAATGTTCCAGATTCGTTTTCAAACAACAGACTTATGTGAGCATAAAAAACTGATTAGCAATTTATCGCTCGATACTTTATCAAAGGCCGCCGAGAAAAATATAATAGGCAGCGAAACCTCACTTTCGGCGTTTCTTATGGATCTGTTAAACACTGAGCCAATAAAAAGAGCCTATTTTCACCTAATTTTTTACCACTATACTTCTAGGTTCAACGTATTTCGGGCTAAGTATATAGTGCCTATTGTTTTACTGCACGTCTAACGGGAGGGGAAAGAGGTCCACGTGAGGTCTACAGCTCAATCAAGAAAAGTATCAACGATGAATATACAAGAAAGAAACAAAAACCTAGCATTAATCGATGGTGAACACTTCGCACTGTTTCATCACGCCAGGCGCGCAGTAGTGTGCGCCAGCCAAACTGGTGTTTCAATAAACCAAGTAATGAGGTTTTTATTCATTCCATATCTCGTTATTCTGTCTTGAGTGAGCCTGGCAGTGAGAGGTCACCACTCAGCGTAAGCAATAAGCGGGGCAATAGTAAGTGCCTTTAGTGGGACCCGTTCCCCTCTGGTTACAATTACGACGAGCGGCGCTCGCTAATAGGTCCCCTTAGCTACTCTAGCAGGCGCGAGTCACTCATACGCAGAAAGTTTCATGATTCAAAAATAATAGCATGTAGAGCTCGGCGAACTGTTTCTGATGATGAGATTCCCTACGTTATTGTGCAAATCTATGTACAGCGGGGGTCAACGAGAGACCGATCACCCTCACCAATGAAAATGAAAAAGTCATCTTCGGGCGGCATTCCGAGCCACTCAATGGCTCGTCTCCTTCTGTGTCATTGCAAGGGTTACTCCTTCGCGAACTTCGACATGCCTTCAGAACACATATTCCCGTTGAACTGAGTCAAAGCATAATTTGGTTATCATCGATCGATTTGGTCCGAGCGTGCGCCGTGCATTACGTCTACGCAGAGGTGGTGGAAAGGTGTAACTTCTGATTTTGGGTGTTTTTGTCCATGCAAGCAGATGTTTGTTTAGGGTTTGGAAAGGTCGATACGCACGAATCTGTTTGAGATGTATTATTTAGTCATCTACGTACTTACGAGTTCATGTTGACCATGGATATTGCTAAACAATTGTTTTTCATTCTTAGTTTTCCTTACATCCGTTCCACTGCAGCTTTCCCTCCGCTCCATCGAACTTACCATTAGCGACACTTTTGGGCTGTTTGGTGCTTACCGATCCTGCGTTTACGACGATGTTGTACCGTTATTCAGCCAAGGCTATGCATGCGCTGTCGATGCCAAGTGGTCCCTGTGAACTCCACTCGGTCATTGGGTCGAATAATCTCGAGCAGTCCACTGTGCTGAACTAGAATGGAGTGGATCATGGAGAAAAAAAAATGCATGACATCCTTTTCGCAGTTAGCCAGTGTTTCGATAGACAGGCGAAGAAGCTTTAACGACTTCATGTCTTATAGTTTTCCAGTTCTAAATGGGTACCGTGAAGCCTAGAGATGTTTTTTGTATAACAGCAAGACTTGCAAGGGTGGGGCCACCCGCTTTCCAACTACAGCTCGATTTTCCATTAGGAAACAGTTTTGTGCTTGTCGTTGTGTTTGTGGTTTGAACCATTAAAAATCACCCTGACTATTTTGGATAAATTCCTCTTTCTCCTAACAGAACCCAGTGATCTCGGGGAACAATCGCGTATTTTGTGGTTGATAAGTATGTTCTCCCTGTCATCCTCCTGGATAGAAGCCTTCAGACGATGGCTCCACCCCTACTAAGCGCCTACCACCCTCTCCCCGTGCTAGACGCCCAGTAGGGGTGGGATCTCAGTCTGGATGTTCTTCCCCGGAGGAAGAGGTACCCTGTGCCCTGTCTGCTAGCTTTTCTTCTGCTCGGAATTCTGCAAAATTCATGATTACAAGGGTATACCGACGGAGCTTATTCACAGAGTGACGCTTTACTTCACTTTGCCCTTTGCCATTTTGATTTGTTCATCTTGTTTACTTCACCAGTTATTCCAAACTCCAACTCAGATGGTGTAGCGCTCACCATACTCTACTGCAAGTTCCTATCCGTCCGCTCGTGCCCTCTTATCTGATGATCCTGCGTTAATCTGCTCAGATAAGCGATTGAGGAATGAAGGACGTCGTATGGCTCGCAACACGGCCGACACTCACCTATAACACGACCGACTATTCGCCTCAGTTCCCTCCTTTCGACATTGTCGTTATCCTCAATTTCTTTGTTTTTACCTAGAAAAAAGATTGATTTCCCCACAGTACGGTTCAATTGTTGTCAGCTACGGAACGCCCCAAGACCTAATTGCCAGGCTAAGCGTGATCCTTCTTTGAATACAGTACAAACGTCACGTCTTCCGCAGGAAACCGGCTGCCTCACTTTCGCCCTCTACCGTTCACCCTCTTACGAGACTCGTAAACGCTATCAGGATCCGTGGCCCAGATTCGGCGCACTTTGCTCCAATAATTCCTTTCACGTTTCCTCTTCATCCTGCAAGAATAGTTCGCAACTTGAAAAGAAAGAGGGCGTAGCGTAAGGCCAAGCACATAGCTGTCACCATCGTGTCCCAGCTATCACATTCTATCACATCTACACCCGTAGAGAATCCCTGAAGGCGCAGTTCGGCGGTGAGGGGGGGGCATTTTGCGACTTTGCTGCTTCACTGCTTTCAGTTTACAAGTCTCACTCTGGCGAAACCTGTGAACTCTTGTGAAGCTGGAGCAAGCTCGTCAAGCCATCATGGTAAAACCTGTCAACTCGAGAAGAGGCTGCCTAGGATCGACACGTCGATGGGAAGTAGCAAGTGTGTCAAAATACCCCCCCCCCGAAATACCCCCGTCTCCGAAGCGCCCCTCCCTGAGCTACAAAGTCCATCTGTTATCGTTGAAGTCTCTATCTAAAACGTCGTTCTGAACGTAGACCACTCGATCCCCCTTACACAACGTCTTTATCTTGTATTTCTATGGCTTTGTACCATCCATGAATTGGAAAACTTAGTCTTACTCCCTAATCCGTAATAAATCGCTAATTCAATAACAGTAATCGTCTAAATGTGAATGAATCTGATAACCCGACGGGGCCAAGTATGTGATATGCGGAGTTGTTTAGAAGGATGAACGATCGTGCTTGCATTTCGAGGTAACGAGGTCAAAAGGTTCTGGCGAAAGGCGCTCAAGAAAAAACGCAGCCGTCCGCTACGAGGCCCGCCTCGGCCCGTCCGCTCATCCCGCCGCCACCACCGCGAGGGTCTTATTTACCGTAATACTCTCGCTATTCGTTCACAGTCATTACACCTTCACTTTACCTTATCACCGTGTAGTTCCCTTACACATGAACCCGAGTAGGGTAACTCCTTCATCAAATCACCCATGTTTCATAAAAACTACTGTAGCGGCACTGGCGCCAATCCATAGTAATCGGCCGAATCACAGTTCTCATTGCGATTGTCGCAAAAAAATAAGGCCAACGGTCATCGCTGCTGCAGTCGATGTTCCTTCTGGTTCCGTTCTATGCTATCCCATCGTTACTTGACAACTGGAAACTTCACTGTTATTGTTCTTAACGCTTCCGATTTCAGGAATGCTGCGAGCCGCGCTATTGTTGGCGCTGAGCTCCACAGCTCTGGCAGTATTTGAGTGTTCCAATCAAGAAACGACGGCTTTCGTGCGTATTGCTAGAGCTCGCCTCGATGGAACCCCAGTTGTCGTGTCTACTGCCGGTATGTCTTAACATCTATTACTACAACTCCTTTCTCTATGTAACAGCCTTATATATGTAATTTTCCTGTTAAAGTATTTTCTGTAGACTTTTTCAAAACCCTTTCGTCTCATAACTATCTTAGTATCTCTTCTTAGGTCACGATCTCACCTGCGCTCAGTACTGTCGAAACAACATCGAACCAACCACTGGCGCTCAACGAGTTTGTGCCTCGTTCAACTTTGACGGACGAGAGACTTGCTACTTCTTCGATGATGCCGCTTCACCAGCCGGTTCGTTTCCATCGTTGTACGTGCAAGGTTGAAATTTAGGAAGTCGCATGGAATTGCATCTTTTGCAGGGACAAGCCAATTGACCGCAAACCCATCGGCAAATAATTTCTACTATGAGAAGACGTGTCTACCAGGAGTTTCTGCGCACGAAGCATGCACCTACCGATCGTTTTCATTTGAGCGAATGAGAAAAACGGTTTTGGAAGGATTTGTTAGGAAAAGCGTACAGGTTTGTGAAGAAAGACTAGGTCTTCGATAAGCGTATACTTTATGGTCCTTGCTCTCGAAACCCCTAGTACAACCCAGTCACATGAGTCCTCTCCACTTCTTCGTAGCGGAGGTCTGAAGGTACACCGTTAGCTCTCAATCGGAATTTGAAGAATTCCTTCTCCGGAAATTATTCGAAAAACGGCGCGATCGAAAACGAGACGTGACCGCCGCTGTGGGTATTGAGGTCAATGTGTCATCGTGTGATTTGGCGAACTTTTCAACTTTTCGCCGCAATCGAGGAATTCAGGGACGGTTAAACGAGAGCGAACGAATGGCCCCGGAAAGGGAAAATGTCATTGAAGAAAGTGGTGGAATAAGGCTCATTTTTTCCTCTCAGTTCCGTTATTTTTCAACAATGATTTGTAAGATGCTTTGTTCCACTTGGCAAATACTATTATTAATCAGGTTAGGGCATCGGGAGCTGTTTGCTTATGAACTTACAAAATTTCTCGGCTTTGATCGAACAAATAGGCTAGGGAAGATGCACAGTAAAAGTAACTCAAGACCTCCCCAATGGGCAAAATTAGTATTGTTCAATGGAGAGACGAGTTTAGCCTAGTAGGAAGGGTAAAAGCAGGGAGTTCCGTATAGTTGAATGATTGCCTTGTGCAGAACGGGGCTTTTGACGATTGGAACTCCCGGACCCTGGTCTGAGCCACTGCCGCCGATGTCCAAATATGGGAAGTACAGCGTCGACTTCAGCTCCGCGCAGGTCTCCATTAAATGTCCTATTTAGCAGACTTCGCCTCGATGAAAGACTGAGTCTCATCTGCCTCCGCATCATATTCCTTCATAAATGGAAATACTAAGGAGAAAGGGTAAATCTGCTGCTACGAGATCTAGCTTGTGACGGTTATGAGGAAGGTGACCCCAATGGAGCCATTCTATTCCCCACAAGATTCTATAAATGTTGTGCCCAAAACTCATGTGGATTGAGGAGTCCCAACCTTGTTCCCTTTAAATTGGGTGTTCGTTCAGCACACTGACAGTAGAAAACTACAATGAATATA